CCCCCGCAGGGACACACACAAACATACTCCGCGCCCCCCTCACCTTCTGCAGGCTGGAGGAGTTGAGCTGCGTCTTGTCGATGATTTTCACGGCGACCTGGGAGGGGCGAGAAGGGGTCAGGGAATGTCCCCAGGGCTGTCCCCACGCTGCGGTGGCACTCGTGAGGTGACAGGACCATCCCCAGCGTTGTCCCCACACTATGGTGGCACTCGTGAAGACCAGGAACCTGTCCCCACACCGCAGTGGCACTCCCAGGGCAAGGACCAGGAGCCCGTCCCCACGCTGCGGTGGCATTTGCAGGGAGGGAGGACCAGGAGCGTGTCCCCACACCACGGTGACACTAACAGGATGAGGATCAAGAGCTTGGGACTGTCCCCACGCCGTGGTGGCACTTGTGGGGCAAGGACGAGGAGCCTGTGCCCATGGTGGCACTCATGGGACGAGGACCACGAGCCCACAACTGTCCCCACACCACGGTGGCACTGAAGGGATGAAGACCACGAGTCCCCACACCGTGGTGGCACTCACAGGATGAGGACCACGAGCCCACAACTGTCCCCACACCATGGTGGCACTCATGGGACAAAGACCACAAGTCCCCACACCGCGGTGGCACTGAAGGGACGAAGACCACGAGCCCACAACTGTCCCCACACCGCGTTGGCACTCATGCGATGAAGACCACGAGTCCCCACACCATGGTGGCACTGAAGGGACGAAGACCACGAGCCCACAACTGTCCCCATACCACGCTGGCACTCATGGGATGAAGACCACGAGTCCCCACACCACGGTGGCACTCATGGGACGAAGACCACAAGTCCCCACACCACGGTGGCACTCAAGGGATGAAGACCACGAGCCCACAACTGTCCCCACACCACGTTGGCACTCAAGGGACAAAGACCACGAGTCCCCACACCGCGGTGGCCCTCACAGGATGAGTACCATGAGCCCACAACTGTCCCCACACCATGGTGGCACTCAAGGGACGAAGATCAGGAGCCCAGAACAGTCCCCACACTGTGGTGGCACCCACGGGACAAGGACCAGGAGCCCATCCCCGTGGTAGCACCCACAGGACAAGGACCACAAGCCCGTCCCCACACCGCGGTGGCACCCACGGGACGAGGACCGTCCCCAACCCGCGGTGGCACTCACCTCCTTGCCAGTCAGGACGTGCCGGGCCAACTTGACCTTGGCGAAGTTGCCCTTGCCGATGGTTTTCAGCAGGCGGTAGTTGCCGATGTGAGGTTGCTCGTCGGCGGAGGTGGCCGAATTCCGGCCCCGGAGCATGTTGGCCTTCCCGCCGCCCTTCCCCTCCACGGGACCCGCCTGCGGGGGACACGAAGGGGACAATCAGCTCGAGGTCCGGTGTCCCCCCCCTCCATCAAGAGGTGGGGGTGGGTGTCCAGAGGCTCTCCGCAAAGCCGGGAGCAAAGTCCGGGAACGCCGTTGCCGTACAGTGCT